TCCAAGTACCTCACAAACCTTTTGAAATCTTGATTATGAAACCGGTAAGTGAACCACTTGGATAAACACTGCATTTTCAGGAATAAAGACAACGTTGGTCAGACCAGCTCCACTTCACAAGAATTCACAATTACTGCAAAATTTTGAAACCTTTCTGCTTGCCTCTTATGTCTCAATCTTCTTGCCATTTGAGAAATTTTACCTCTATTGGTAAGAGTTTGGGTTCTTTTTCGAGAAATGAGCAGAAGTCGACGCCTTTGCTTATTGCCATCCTTTATTTTAGTTACTGTAGCTCTGTGTGACGAATATGGACTTAATAATTACCAAAAGTCTTTCATAGAATGAGAATATATATATACCTGGGAGGATCAATGCTCCGTTCTTTCCCATCACAGCGTTTAAGGCCAGCAGTCCCTCCCTGTTTTAACACCCCTTTTCTTGATTGATGTCGATTATATCGGCTTCGTTTGGTTGGATTTTGGGAATACTACTTTTAGTATTCCCAAAAAAGTTAAACAGTAAAATACCAAAAAACTCACAATATTATTCAACTTTATTCAACATTTTTTAAACCCCCTAAATTTGTTAATTCAATTAAATACCCCTAAATATTTTTAATGTTTTTGTTACGGCGACTCCGGCCACCCTCCGGCGGTGGTGGCCGGCTGTCCGTATTTGAGGGTGGATTGGGTGTGTTTTTGTTAACTTTTAATATTTTATTATAGGGGGTGTTTTGTAAAAAAACAAACATATGGGGTATTTTATTAATTTATAAATCTTACATCGTAATACCTGCCCAATTCAACTTTTTTTTAACTTGTTTCAAAAAACTTTTCTCAAAAACCCAAAATTTTGAACCAAACGAAGCCATCATATCTAGACAGTTTCTTGAGTAGACATGGCTCCGTTTGGTTCACAATTTTGTGTTTTTGGGAAAAGGTTTTTGAAAAAAGTTAAAAAAAAAGTTGAATTGGGTGGGTATTACGATGTAGGATTTACAAATTATAAAATACCTCCTATGTTTATTTTTTTATAAAACACCCCTTATAATAAAATATTAAAAGTTAACAAAAACACCCCCAATCCACCCTCAAATACGAACAGCCGACCACCACCGCCGGAGGGTGGCCGGAGTCGCCGTAACAAAAACATTAAAAATATTTAGGGGTATTTAATTGAATTAACAAATTTAGGGGGTTTAAAAAATGTTGAATAAAGTTGAATAATATTGTGAGTTTTTGGGTATTTTACTGTTTAACTTTTTTGGGAATACTAAAAGTAGTATGCCCAAAACCCAACCAAACGAAGCCCATGAACTTCTCAATCCACCAAAACTCTTTGTTGGTAATAAGGAATTTAACTTCTCCACTGAGTTGTTGAGAAGCTATATATGTAGAGGTAACGATGTCAGTGAACTCATGAAATTATATTAGTTTCCTGCATATCCTCCATTGGAGAAAGTAGTGGCTGATACGCTATCGTTTCGTTTGTTTCGTATTTGGGAATACTATTATTAGTATTCTTAAAAAAGTTAAACAGTAAAATGTCATTATTTTCAAAATATTATTCTATATTTTTCAATTTGTTTTAAACCTCCTAAATTTGTTAATTTAATTAAACACTCTCAAATAATATTTTTAGAAATTGCAAAAACACTCCGATCACTCTCCGACAGTGGTGGTTGATTGTCCGTATTTAATGTGTGAATTGGGAGTATTTTTGTTAACTTTTAATATTTTATTATAGAGGTGTTTAGTAAATAAACAAACATATGAGATATTTTTATTAATTTTTTAATTTTATATCGTAATACTTGCTTAATTTAACTTCTTTCAAAAAAATTTTCAAAAAATTATTAGAACAATGAATCAAACGGAACCTATGACTTTATACTGTGGGAGTTTCAGGGGATCCATTGCTGTACTAATTAAACACTGCCAAACGCGGCTATGTATATCTAGCGAGACAAAAGCTTTCGGCTTTTAGCAGAGCAGAGTACCTTTAAATCGTTTTAAATCAAGCTGTATGTTTTGTTTGTCAAAGTACACTTAGACAAAAGCTTTCCGGATGGGGGAGGGGTCCTTCAGGACTCGATGATCAAGTGGGTATTGTTGTATTACTAGCATTAGACTGCTTTCGTCTGCTCTGACCTTGGACTAAGTACCTCAAAATCATAGCCTTCGAAGGCTCTTCAAAATAAAATCTTGGTAACCATTCCGTCGCTAAGGGTACTACTTGGATAACTACCGCGTTTTCAGGAAGAAAAACAATGTTGTTCAACCCAGCTCCATGAACTCCGAACGGTACATCACAAGTTCTGCAAATTTTTGTACGTTCATCGTTGCCTACGCCACGATTACTTTGTATCCTAATCTTCTAGCCACTTGAGCAATTTCACCTGTATTTGTAAACAAATTGTGTTCTCTTTCGAGAAATAATCAGAAGTCGAGGCTTTTTCTTTTCACCATCCTTGATTTTAATAGCTGTAGCTCTGGGTAATGAACATGAACTTGAAGTCTCATAGATTGAGAAGACTTAGAAGGATCAATAGTCAACTCTTTACCGTCATAGCGTTCAAGGCCAATAATCCCGTTGAACTGTCTAGAAGACATATACAGATGAATAACGTGTCAGTGAAGTCATGGAAGTGGTTTCCTGCATATCCTGCATTGGAGAAAATAATAGCTGGAACGCTGTGATTTTTGGTGCATTGTTGGAGTTGTTGGGGATTAATTCATTGACTTTGCTGACCATTTCCTTAATTCATTGCGGCTTCATCTCCTTTTCGAGCATAAGGCCTGATAATCCATGAACTGTTTCGTGACGAGATGCCTGTTTTATGAGTTCTTGAAGGAATAAATACAGGGGCGGAATCTCCATCAATCAATATAACATGGTTGGTCTCGCAAAAGTTTGACATTTTCTTGAAATTGCAGACTGGCTCTAGTACTACTTCCTTTGGGACAAAATCTGGAACTTCAAAAAGGAAACCGAAATGACTCGAGTCAGTGATGATATATGATAATAATCTTCAGTTGTTACTACTAGTTAATCAAAACTTACCTTTAGCTATGTGCTGAAAATTGTCCTGATCCTTAACCAGTTGGTGGGAACTGTTCGTAATATTCTTAACTGTTTGCAGAGAGCTATTACCAATTCCATCCACTAAAGGTAGAGATTTGCTTACATCCCCAACTATATTCCGGCTGCTGCTTGCATTCTTTAACAATATGATGTGATCAACTACATGTTGAGAATTATTGCTTATATTCTCATGGATGTATTTAGAGCTGTTAGTATCTCTGATCATTAACATCTTCAGACCGAACCTCATCGGTACCCGCAAATTTACTGCAAAACACCTCCATCATGATTAAAAACATATATATGTGCTCTTACAAACTGCCAAATAAGGCTACAGTGCAGAAACTCATAACGATCAGCAAGCAAAACACAAATTACACAAAGCCAAGGTCGTAAGATATTTGCTACATGCTCTTTTTTGAGAGTTTGCATGCTTCTCGATTTCTTTACTCTTTTAATTAATTTGTTAGTAACATTTCACATAACTATTTTTGCATGTAAACATGAACTTAAAGCTGAACTATGCAAATTTGATTTCTGATTGTATAGTTGGGTTTTTCCAGACAAATTAGTAATTACAACAGAACTTGTTGGCCTGTTTGATACATTATTTAAAATATAGTTTTTGAGAAGCTATTTTAAATAGGATGAGATATGATTAAAAGGTTAGAGAATGTGTTTAGTATAATATATTATAATTATATGAGACTTATGATAAAAATATAGAATAATTGTTTGGTATATTTTTTGAAAATATTTTTTAAATATATTTAAATTAATTTTTAACCCCCTATATTTGTTAACTTAGCTAAACACCCTTTAATAATAAAAATTTATAAATTAACAAAAATATATTCAGGAGCCACTGTTGGCAATCGATAATCGCTGGAATGGTGTATGATGGGTTGGATCTGGCTTGGGTGGGTGGAGATGTTTTTATTAATTTATAAACTTTTATTATGAAAAATAATTATTAAATATTTTGAATTAAATAAAACATGATAATATAAAACAAGTATTATCCACTTTTCTAACTCTAGACAAAAAATCCTATTTGAGTTGGATTAATTTTTAGAAAGAAATTGTCTAATAACCAAATAAACACATATCCTGTTTTTCAATTTAAATATGATAAAAAGCTACCTAAAAGAGTGAAACAAACAGACATCCTCGGAGCTAAAGATGTTTTAGTAAAGTTGAGTAGTGTTGCGACGCCGATAATGTGCGGTGAGTGACCAGTGAAAGGCCATCGTACACACACTTAAAGATCGGAGCAACTACATACACACACTTAAAGTTATTTTTGTCAGATTCAATTGAAGTTATAGTAAGATTATTTGTACTTGTGTGAGCAAAGAAACTGAAGCTTAAAACCACCCCTCAAGTTTAACTGAAGCTTATATACATACATTGTAAATAAAAGACAAACCCATATGAGATAATAACTTCATATAAAGTTAAAGCATATAATGGAGTAGACCGTTAATTGGGTAAGTTTGTGGAGGACAATGCAGTTACTAAAGCTCATATACATTGTAAGTAAATATTATTCTATATGAGTCAACTCCACCAATTTTAAATCTTAAAACAGAAAGTTCCCACTTATAAAGTTGAAAAACTAATTTTCTCTTTACACCCCTAACAAAGCAAATTAAATATCAATTTTATTTTGCAATCTCTTTTTTCTTCATTGAACCAGCAAAACCCAAGTGACTTTGATTTATTTTCAATTAATAGTAAGAGCGTGATCTGAAAATATAGAAGTGGATTTGGTCCAATTGGGCTTAATCAAGTGAAGGTTTGAGTTCAATTTCAGGTAAAGTCCAGTTAAGGATTTTTAAAGAGGAAGCTGATTTGGTTAAAAAGAGTAAATAATATTCAATTTATCTGTCAAACCTTAACCTCACGGAGTTGGCAAAAGAAGAGCCGCAAAACCCCGCAAAACCCTTTTACCGCATTTTTGTTTCACTTCACTTCTCCACTACATGAAACCAAATTATCAATCGCATTAACACTTTGTGTTCCACAGAAGGATGCCCTGCTCATCCTTTTTCATGTCTCTAAGACCCACTTCTTCCCCCTTCTATATATCCCCAAAAACCCTATTAAAACCCTCTCTCTTTTCCCTTCTTGTTTCCAAAAACCAATGCCTCTCCTTCAGGTCTATACCTCCCTTGAGGAGGCATGCGGTCCTCAGCTGCTCGGGGGCTGCCACTAGAACCCGTAGGTTGAATTGGAAGAACGTTTCGTGGCCGTATTTGGAGCAGCAGACCTCTAATTATGGCCGGTTTGCCTACCAGGACGTTTCCGGCGATGATTCCGATCGTGAATTCGGCTCAAACCAGCAACAAATGGTTAGTTATACCTTCTTCTTTGAATTAGATAATTCGAATTCAGTTTTTTCGGTTTTCTTTGTGTGGCAGTGTTTATTAGTAATTCAAGTTTTGAACCGTTAGAATGAAAAAAAAAAAAAAAAAAAAATTGTAATGAGGAAAGTAATAGTAATTTGCAATAAAAAGAGTAGAACATCTTAAGCCTAATATTGCTTTCTTGAAGTTGTATAGCTAAGTGAAACCATCAAATTGCATTAGCGGTGGTTAAGATTGAGACGTGGATAAGGTTGCTCTCTTGAGTCGGTACATGTCTTTCCGGTAAATGTTACGGGTGAAAAAGAGATTCTGGCAGCATATAACATTCTCTGCTGTAACTTACCTAAAATTTTAGTTTTGATAGAATTATGCAATTACGCTGCTGCTTAAATTTTCTGTTAGTCATCAGTATGACTGGTATGTTGAAATTTAGTTCTCACTTGTGTTGGTGAATGGTGTTTTAGCTTCCTATCTGTTGATGTGCTATATTTCTTATGTGAGATGTCTAACTCGGACACACACACAACCTTGTTTTAATGATTGTCAGTGTGGTTCAACCCTTGATAATATTGATGATTGGAGATGGAAGCTAACCATGCTTCTTCGCAACAAAGATGAGCAAGAGGTTGTGTCAAGGGAAAAAAAGGACAGACGCGACTTTGAGCAACTTTCAGCTCTGGCTACCAGAATGGGTTTGCATAGGTATATTCACTATTTTGGTTTATAGAATCATTTTTGTTGTATTTTTCATATAACTTCTTGTAACATTTAAATATTTGTTGGCAGTCGTCAATATGCAAAAGTAGTAGTCTTTAGTAAAGTCCCACTGCCGAATTACAGATCCGATCTAGATGATAAGCGTCCACAGAGAGAGGTTTTTTCTGGATCCTTATCTTTGCTTTTGCTCTATTGTTAAATTTAGTGTATTTTGAGAATGGGTAATGGAACAAATTCTTAAGGATAATTGATGATAAGATTCAATTTGCTGACCACCTTCAGGTTATCTTACCATTTGGACTGTTAAGAGAAGTAGATGATCATCTCAAAGCTTATGGACAACTCAAATATAGAAATGGGGGATTTTTGTCAGGTAACTCTTTGTCAAAATCAGGTAGTAGTGGAAGTATTGCTACTGATGAAGGACTTTACGAGCAGCGGTTCCCACTTGCAAAGAATAGTGTTGCAATGGAGAGAATTCTCCGGCGGCGAAGTTTGCAGCTGCGTGAAAAGCAGCAAGATTGGCAGGTTCATTTCTACTCTAATAGTTTTATAAATTTCTTCCTGTGTCAGTTATCCTCTCTGGCATTTCTGGTTTTTCTGTAATTTACTTATGTTTGAGTAATATAGAACGTAATTTTTTGTCATTTTATTATTTTGATGGTAAGGATTAAGTCTCACTTGTTTTTAATAGCAAAATTAAATGCCACTGGAAGAAAGCACTAATGTGCTTCTTGTGTCCTTATTTTGTAAAATGGTGCCTACAACATTGCTATGAAGGGATAATTGTGTTGAAGAAATAGAACGACTTTTTAATTTGTTCGTTTGTGTAGCTAGTCTTTATAATTACTCTGTCATTCACAAAGCTACATGTTGTATAATGATATATATATAATGATATATGCTACAGTGGGTTATGCATATAGAGATGATTAATTTCCTTTGCAATGATAAATATATTGTCCATCAATGTAAGACTTTTTTCGGATCAATGTCTCTACCAATCAGTTAAACTTTAAAAATGATAGATGCTATCAGAATGGACTTACTTAAATTGAATTAATTTAGTTTCCGAGAGTTGTTAAAAAAAAAAAAAAAAAAAAAAAAAATTAAATAGAGGAAAAAATTCCTACATTGATGAATAGTGAAGTTTAATTTCAAAGGAATTCAGTTCTATCCTAACAACTACTCCAAAATTGTAAACAAATAAAATTTAAAATTGCCTAAAAATGAGCAACAAACTTATTTTTTCCAATGGCTACATCAACTTAACTCACGGGATCTGCAGATGTGCACAAATCTCATAACTCAAATCTGTCCATATATTTCGAAATGGTTACTCTCTAATTAACAGAAGTTTAATATCACTCTGGAATAATCATCCGAATCAAAACCTTTGCATGTACACACGAGCATTTTTATGATTTTGAGATGTAGCGTTTGCTAGTTTTACAGTGGCTTTTCCTTATTTGGAAAATATCCATCTTCAGTTTAGGCAATTTTTACGGATTTTTAAATCTGCTCCGAGTGTTATTTTCATTTTTCCTTACAAATTCAAGTACAAAGTTTATGCTATATATCATGTTTCCTGTCAAATATTAAATTCAATAGATGTTTCTGATTTTTTCTTAATGGGAATTTTGGTTTGGTTGCTATATTCATGTCTAGTGGTTGTAGTAGAAGTTGTCAATAATTAGTGTGTACTTTTAGTAGTTATTTAGACTTATAGTTAACATGTTGGCAGAACAAGGTTCTCATCTCCCAGTTGTGCTACAAAATTTATATGTTTCATTTTCATGTTTTTTGCCAGTTTTTTGATTTAATGATTAGGATGGCTTTCTGTTTTCCTTTTTCATTCCTCTGAATGTCTCAATTTTTTTTTTTTTTTTTGGGTGAAAAAACATGAAATCTTCTGTAGGAATCTCCTGAAGGTCAAAAGATGCTTGAATTTCGTAGAAGTCTTCCTGCACATAAGGAGAGGGAAGCATTATTAAATGCCATTGCACAGAATCAGGTGAAGTATAATGAGTTTGTTGTTATGAGTGGATCTTGTTGCCTGTTTAGATCCTTCCTTTCCTTCTATCTCTCTCTATATGGGTTTGATGTGTAGAAGAAATCCTTGTGGCCTTGTTTCATTGAAGATTTGGATACCTTAACCAAGCAGGCATTTATTTGTTCCTTCCATAAAAGGGCCATTATCTAGTCATGGCGTTGCCATAGTAAGGGCTCTGTTCTGAGTACGGGCTTTATTCTGTTTAAGGTCCGAATGCATAAAATCATTTTGCATCAACTGTGATTTGATAGATGCATCTACCAAACAAATAATATCAGTTTTGCATGCTTACATAATTTGAAATTGTTACTGATGGCTGATATGCTCATTGTAAAAACATGATTTACTGTTTGCAGGTGGTTGTTGTCTCGGGTGAAACTGGCTGTGGTAAAACCACCCAGCTTCCTCAGTACATATTAGAATCGGAAATTGAAGCTGCTCGTGGAGCAGCCTGCAGTATCATATGTACTCAGCCTAGAAGAATATCTGCCATTGCTGTTTCTGAGAGAGTTGCTGCAGAACGAGGAGAGAAAATTGGAGAATCTGTTAGTTTCTTCTTCTGATATTACTACCCTTGCTTCAAAAGCCCAAGCTTGTTTATGATTTAGATTATTGTGGTATTGTCAATGCGGATTAATTCCTTTATTTTTATTTTTACTTTTTGTCCCTCTTGAAAGGTTGGGTATAAAGTTCGGCTAGAGGGAATCAAAGGGAGGGACACACGCCTTCTGTTTTGCACAACTGGAATACTATTGAGGAGATTACTTCTTGACAGAAATTTGGAAGGTGTAACTCATGTTATTGTTGATGAGATTCATGAACGTGGAATGAATGAAGGTAAGTTAAGAATTCAATAAGTTCCATTTTGGTCTGTGGTCTTGGTGGGATGCTTACCATGGTTTGCACAATTTCAGATTTTCTCCTTATTGTCTTGAAAGATCTCCTTCCTCGTCGACCAGAATTGAGGTTGATTCTGATGAGTGCAACCCTAAATGCTGAGCTTTTTTCTTCCTACTTTGCTGGTGCTCCAATGCTACATATCCCGGTAATTCCAGGATGCTATTTACTATATACTCAAGTGTTAGGAAGTAGTCCCTTCTTTTTTCAATGTTTTAACCAAGTTGTTATGGTCTTTAATTCCCATTCTTTTTCTTCTTTTGTGTATATTCATGATGGTACTTGAGCATTAGCTTGTAAGGTGATATTATTAGTCATTCATATCATTATTTTTATCTTAGTTCAAATGATTTTTTAGTTATTCAATAATTTATTGATTATCATCATCTACCAGTAGTAGTTTATGATAATTTCAACAATTAGCAGTGGAATTCAATTTTTTTAAACTAAAAATTTCTGTCTTTTCTTCATAAAAGGTGGAATGAAGATTTATTATGAAAGGGCATGATAATGAATCTGGCATGAAAGAAAATTAGTTACTTGTCGCACTCAATCACCTCAGTGGTTTTTTCATAATGAATGACCCTATTTTGCTATTTTAAGTCTTTTATAACTTCTTTATTTCTTTACAAGTAAAATTGTATGTCCTCTATATATATTTATCATTCCTTTTTACAATTAACATGATCTGATTGCTTCCTTGTTTTGTTTCGGAGTTGTGCTAATTATTGTTTTCTTCATTCTGTGTGGAGTGTCATTCATTTTTGTGTGTTACATGTTGAAGGGGTATTATCATGGTTATGTTGGGGGCTTGTGAGTTGTAGGTTTGGAGGATACTGGAAATTTAAAAATGGTTACAGCTCCAATTGCATAAATTTCAACATGTTCTTTCTTACTCCTTGTTTCTCTGGCTTTTAGGAGTTGCACATTCTTCTTGGCGCTTATGGTGACTTTAGCCAGCTCTGTATCTTGTGCCCCCTTCCTTCCCTGTGGCCTTTTTCTTTCATGCTTCATCCTTTTATTTTTATGTTATTTTCTGTCTTTGGCGTAGAATAACCATTAAATTAGGATGGTATACTGGTCTCACAACATTATTTTTTCCCCTTATTTATTTATTTATTTATTATTATTATTATTTTTGGCTTGGGGGGTGGGTTGTGGGGTAATTATTTCTGCTTATTCTGATTTCAGGGTTTTACATATCCAGTTCGAGCATATTTTCTGGAACAGATTCTGGAAAAGACTGGATATCGGTTGACCTCTTATAATCAAATTGATGATTATGGTCAAGAAAAGTCATGGAAAATGCAAAAACAAGCTCAAGCTCTGAGAAAGAGGAAGAGTCAGATTGTTGCAGCTGTTGAGGTATGGAAATCTTGTGACGTTAGCTTAATGGAGCATGCATGAAGGATTCAGGTTTGGTTCTCCTTTATTTTGTCTTTCTCTTATACATCTTCCTTTAAACTTGTGAACAGGATGCACTTGAAGCTGCTGACTTTAGAGATTATAGCTTACGCACTCAAGAGTCTTTATCCTGTTGGAATCCTGACTCAATTGGATTTAACCTCATTGAGCATGTACTTTGCCACATTGCAAAGAACGAGAGACCTGGTGCAGTTTTGGTTTTTATGACTGGTTGGGATGACATAAACTCATTGAAGGATCAGCTCCAAACTCATCCTCTTTTGGGGGATCCTAGCAGGGTTTTGTTGCTTGCATGCCATGGTTCCATGGCCAGCTCTGAACAGGTGTCTTCTCTATCTTCTTGTATGTGTATATACAAGGATTGATAATGATGCCATTCATCTATTGCTAGTCGTCTTCTCAACTGATTTTATCTTTTGTTTTTCTGATTCCTTTTTTCACATTGATGCAGAGGTTAATATTTGATAAGCCCGAAGGTGGAGTAAGGAAAATAGTTCTAGCTACTAACATGGCTGAAACTAGTATCACTATTAATGATGCGGTTTTTGTGGTTGATTGTGGGAAGGCGAAAGAGGCATCTTATGATGCACTAAATAACACTCCTTGTTTGCTTACATCTTGGATTTCAAAGGCTTCTGCCCGACAAGTAAGATAATTCTTCTTATAACCATGTGAACATTTTACCTCGTTTACTGAATTTTTGCTGATGTGAGGGGTTGTTGGCTAAATAAAATGTGGGTGGACAGTGGCTGTGCTTTTAATGTTTATCTTTTCTTTACCTAATCCTTTCCTAAACTTCACTCAGCCAGGCCTAAACATGAATCAAGTTTATACTCTAAATTGAACGAAAAGAAATTGTTTTCCTTGGAACTCTTATTATATCAATGTAGCCAAACCTAGGCAACCATTGCAAAAAGAGGGGGGAAGAAAAGAGTGACAGTTTGTGATAGTTCAAATAAGCAAGTGAAATTGGTGTTGACTGGCTTGGTTGTTTAATTGTATGCTTGAGTGTGGGCCATTATGTGACTTTCGTAGCGGCAATGGTGCATCAATGTAGCCAAATCTATGCTTCCTTGTAAACCCAAGATGTAACTTGTTTCAATTGGATGTGGAATTGGCATCTCCCTCATCTAATAGCTTGAAGCTCTTGTCAAATCTAACTATATTCTTTGGTGTGTCCTATGTTGCTTCTCTGGCATCTTAGGTGCTGGACATGCAAGTAAGTGTGAGCATAATGAATAGGAATTTGCATTTGCTTTGATACCACTTTCACCAGACTAATGATTGTCCTTGATCTAAAAACCTATGTTGTGAGGTAATGCAGCTTACCTTTCTTTTAAGCTTATGGCCATCTTGCTTCTATCATTGTTTTGTTGATTTTATTTTGGTTGGAACTTCATAGCGGTTCATTGTCTCCAGAAAGGCTCTGTTTTGACTTCATTCAATGAATATTGCGAGTTCAAGTGCTATCAGTTTTATAATGTGATTACAGTGTGGCAAGACAATCATGTAACTGAAGTATTTTATTCTATGTTGTTTAATTCTTTGTGCTTACTGTAGTATAATTATACATGGGTAGATAAATACTTTGGTTAAGATCCCATAAACTATAGTAAAATTGGAATTTATGCTGCATTTACATCCTATCTCATCAGATCATGAGGCTGAATAATCCTAGCGTTATTCCTAACTTAAAATGGATATTAATTATTTATTATTGTTTTACTTGCCCTTTATTCTAACTTTTTCTATTGCTACTATTATTATTTTATTTTATTTAACAAAGATTATATTTATCATTTTTATCCTTCTTATTTTGTAATTTGTATTTGGGGAATATGCTTCTTTCTATGAAATTTGTTTTCGTAATTGATTCTTTGCACCCAAATTTATTATACAAGGCTTTGTAGTTTTTTGCAGACTATTGTTTTTACTTATTCTGGATCATGGATCTTAACATAATCACTCATCTTCTGCATGTTGTTCTGTAGAGAAGAGGAAGAGCTGGTCGTGTTCAGCCTGGTGAGTGTTATCATCTTTATCCCAGATGTGTGTATGATGCTTTTGCTGATTATCAGTTGCCAGAACTTTTAAGGACTCCGTTGCAGTCCTTGTGTTTGCAAATCAAAAGTTTACAGCTTGGAAGTATATCTGAATTCCTCTCTAGAGCCTTGCAGCCACCTGAACCTTTATCGGTAATTTTCAATTTGCGTTTGCCTCTCAGTACCTGCATAGTTCTGAAATTTGCGGATAAAATAAAAAAACACTATGGTGGCCTTCTTTTTTTGTTTCATTTGTTCCTTCAAGTACTGGATGTCTTCATCGGAATGTGCTATTTTCTTCTGTTATTAGTATCTGTTTGCAATTGCATTTATCAATTGCTTGACTCATGGTTGTTTTGTAGGTAAAAAATGCTGTTGATTATTTAAAGATCATTGGGGCTTTAGATGAGAATGAAAATCTAACAGTGCTAGGTGCTGAACTGTTTCTATCTTCTCAAGCTGTTTCAGTTTAGGGATATTGGTTATTCTAAAAGGACAAAACCTTAAATTATAACTGGTGGCTTTGCAGGACGCAACTTGTCAATGCTTCCAGTAGAGCCGAAACTTGGAAAAATGCTGATATTAGGGGCTATTTTCAACTGTCTGGATCCCATAATGACTGTTGTTGCTGGTCTTAGTGTTCGAGATCCTTTCTTGATGCCGTTTGACAAGAAGGATGTAAGTTTGCTAACATGATTGTCGGTGCAATTAATAATTCTATTCTTTCACTATTATTCATTTCTAGCATTTTTGTTGCTACTTTTCTTTCTTTACTTATATGATGTGTATGCCTATAAGAATTTTGAGAGGACTTGGCAGTCAAGGCTTTTATGTAGTGTGAAGGTTTAAATATTGTCTTCTTTTTTGTAGCTTGCAGAGTCAGCAAAAGCTCAGTTTTCTTCTCATGACTATAGTGACCATCTTGCACTTGTACGAGCCTATGATGGTTGGAAAGATGCTGAAAGGCAGCAATCTGGTTATGAGTACTGTTGGAAAAACTTTCTTTCTGCACAAACTCTGAAAGCCATTGACTCTCTACGTAAGCAGTTCTTTTATTTGATCAAGGATACTGGTCTGGTAGGATGCAATACAGAGAACTGCAATAAATGGAGTCATGATGAGCACCTTGTTCGGGCAGTCATCTGTGCGGGTTTGTTCCCTGGAATATGCTCTGTTATGGTGAGTGATGCACTCATTCTGCATTTGTTTTACAGGTTTACAGTAACATATTTGTTTTCTTATCTTAGTCGCTACATTCACTTGTATTATTTTTTCAGTTGTATTTTTTACTTCTATGATGTTATTTGTAATGCAACTTTAAGTTCCAATGGGAAAAAAGTTAGATGTTATGTATCTAAAATTAGTCAAGCTTCTTGTAGTTGAAAAATTAGATTCAGTTGGCCGATTTCCCCATTCAAATCAATTAATCTGTTTTGGTTGCATATGACTTCTCTTTTCTACTACAGCTGGTGGAAGTATTTACTGATACAATTGTATTCTACAGAACAAAGAAAAGTCTATAACACTAAAAACAATGGAGGATGGTCAGGTGCTTCTGTACTCGGTAATTTCTTGTCTTTCAGCTACTTTGGTGTTCACTTAAGAAATTGTTTATTTATTTATTTTTTTTTTTTATAGAATAATGGGTATAAACAGTTTCAGACTATAGGTTTTCACTTTGATTTTTTTTTTTTTTTTTTTTTTTTAAAATTATGTCATTAAACAGAATTCTGTGAATGCTGGAGTACCCAAAATTCCCTACCCATGGCTAGTTTTCAATGAAAAGGTTAAAGTGAATTCAGTTTTTCTCCGGGATTCAACTGGTATATCTGATTCTGTGCTTCTCATGTTTGGAGGGAGCATTTCCAGTGGTGGACTGGTATGTTCTATGACTTCATAGTTATTTCTCATAGTACTAATTATCCCTGATGGAAGACATTGGTGATTGTTTTAGTTGGTCTTCCTCTGCCACTTTATTTTCTTTAGTGCTGAAACTATATATTGCTTTTATAGGATGGACACCTGAAAATGTTTGGAGGATACTTGGATTTTTTCATGAAACCAGCATTAGCGTATATGTATTTGAGTTTAAAACGAGAGATCGATGAACTAGTTCAGAAGAAAGTAAGTATTAACTGACTTTTCAGGTTGTATATCTGTTTAATTTTTTATGTTGTTATGCTTCCTTATCCAGAGCTTTTGTTTAAATCATTGTGTGGTGTTTAATTTTGTATTTTTCGTTTTCTTGATGCTATGTGTTTGTGGGCAGCTTCTGAATCCTGAGATGGACATGCAAGTATACAATGAACTTTTAATGGCAGTCAGATTGCTGGTGTCAGAAGACAAATGTGAGGGCAGATTTATTTTTGGTCGTCAGGTGCCAGCACCCTCAAAGGAGGCAGCAAAAGTGATGCTTCCAGGTATGGTCTCAAAAGGAGGAGATGATAATTCCAAGGGTGAGCTGCAAACGTTGCTTGCCAGGGCAGGACATGGAGCTCCAACCTACAAGACAAATCGGCTGAAAAACAACCAGTTCCGTTCTACTGTGATGTTTAATGGGTTGGATTTTGTGGGGAAACCTTCCAGCAGTAAGAGACATGCTGAAAAGGATGCAGCTGCTGAGGCTCTGCTATGGTTGAAAGGCGAGAGTCATTCTTCTGCAAGAGATCTGGACCATGTCTCAGTGCTTCTGAATAATAGCAAAAGCAAAAGTAAAAAGAGAACTTAATTCTTGGTGCTAATGGGAGTTAAGCCGACATAAAAGACAAAGGGTGGTACTACATCCTTATCTTTTACTGAGTACTGAAGCTCCTTGTTGAAGTTGCATGTTTCGATGGCATTTTGGGATTCGGGCAGCTGTGGAATTAAGGTTGGAAGAGGAACCGCAGTTCACAAAATCAGGGCAGTCGCTACTGAACTTTTGGACCCTGTTTTAGTAAAAGGGTTAAAATAGTTCTTTGGAGGCAAAAACTGGAGATTCCAACTTACATAACTGAATATACAGAAACTGAATGGGCTTGGCACAAAGTTCTGCCTGTTGCAACAGGTGGCAACTCTCACTTTTGTATCTATTGGTTTCAGTAGGTTGGATATTGACGATATAATTCTTATAGAAGATATGATTTAGCTAAACAGCTATAGAATTTGTATCTGTAAGTTGAAGAGCATACATTGGAAGGTCATCCAAAGTGTATAAGTTATGTATCATAGGTTCATGCTCATACTTATTTTCAAAAGCAATCGGTTTTGGATTGTCATAGACAACAGGGACTGGGACAATGTTCTATGTATTCTATACTTGTACATAATATTTTTCTCGGATTCCCTGTTCAATTGCTTCAAATTTGATTTGAATCCTCAAATCTTAAAGAGTGGATGTCTTCCATGGAATAATCTTATTTTAAAACAGAGTTGAAGTTAGATTTGCAACATTGGATGGTGATGATTTTTACTTTAATCATTCTGTTGAGATGATACCATGTTACATTACTTTTCCAAATAGTTTTTGATTTTTTATTATCTTGTAATGTATGAGTATAGTTCTAACTTACTCCTCGGTCATTATGTTTGATGATAATTTAAAAATTTACTTCCACCTAAAGATTCAAATGTCTTTTAATTAAAAAACAAGGGAAATAAGAAAAAAATATAAACAGTATTATTAGTTAATTTATTACTGATGCAAAAGCTCAAGAACTTTTAACAAAGTACCTCTAAACCTATTCAAATCAAGCTGTACATTTTGTTTCTCCATGTAAACTGACCTAAATACTTTCCATCCCTGTTTTCCTATTGAGGATGGATCCTTTATTACTTGATGGTCAATTGGGTATTGTTGTATCAAACTACTCTCTTCAATCTTAATCTTATACTCCAAGTACCTCACGTTCATTCGCTTTGATGGTTCTTCATAATCTGTTCTTGCCAACCATTCAAACCCACCAAAGGGAATAACTTGAATAAAAACTGCTTTTTCAGGAAGAAATATCATGTTAGTCAAACCAGCTCCATGAACTCCCAAGAACACATCACAAGAGTTCACAGTTTCCGCAAATCTTGAAAGGTTACTTTCAGCTTCTGTTACAACTACTTCGAAACCAAACTTTCTTCCTATTTCAGCAATCTTATCTGTATTGGTGAAAGTTCGTGTTCGCTTTCGCGAAATGATCAGAAGTCGAGGTTTGATTTTGTTTTGACCATCCTTCAGTTTTATTGCTGTAGCTTTCTTCAATGAATACGAACTTCTAATAAACTCCGTGAAGTCCTTTATAGAATAAGGAGAGGTTGAAGGATCAATATGCAGCTCTTTCTCATGGCGTTTAAGGCCAACAATCCCTCTTGGAAAGCAATGAATATCCTTCTCTTTATCTATGTCGATGATCTCATAATTGGACAAGTTTCTGAGTACATTTTGGAACTTATTAATCCACCATGGATGTTTGTCAGTGACAATAAATTGTACTTCTCCATTAAACTGTCTAGAAGTTATGTAGAGTGGAATAAGAATGTCACTGAAGTCATGAAAGTGGTTTCCTGAATATCCTCCACTGGAGAAAACTATTGCTGGAATGCTGTGATTTTGAGTGCATTGTGGAAGTTGACGTTGTTGGACACTTTTTACTGACCATTCCTTAGCGCGACTCATTGCTACTCTGTCATATTTTCTAGCATATGGTCTGATATTCCATGAGCTATTCGCTTCATGTGTTGAAGAAAAATATACAGTGGCGGAGCTTCCATCAATCCTTATATCATTGTTGATTTCGCAAAAGTCTGATCTTTCTGTTATATTGCAGACAGGTTCATCTATTTTCTTGGGGATAATATCTGAAACTCCATAAATCAAGATAAAAATGAGTCAAGTCAATAATTATAATTATATATATATATATATATACTTTTTATAGTAATAAATTTATTAAGATAGAAAACAAAAATTACCCTCTATCGGTTGAGAATCGGTGGAATCCTTGAGTCGTAGGTGGGAGGTGCTTGTATCTTTGACTATCAGCATCTTGAGATCACTAACATCAATAGATAACCGCAAGTTCACTGTGAAAGAAAAGAGGACATGTATTGAGATTTGGTCGAAAGATGTTCAAAATAGCTGAATTAAAATGTAGAGAAGCAACAATGTATGGTTGATAAAATCGTAAAAGATAGAACATACAAACTGGTAGAGGACCCAAATAAGGCTTAAACACAGTGCAGAAGCTCAATACAATAAGGAAGCAACAAAATATTGCAACGTATCCCAACTTCTTCTGCTCATGCTTACTAAAGCTTCTAGCAAGTATAGAGTCGTACATCGTTTCCTTTGTTTAATTTCTTAACTTTTGCATATACAAAACCTCCCTTTATCTAACAAACAATATGCAAAGAGGCCAAGGTTATATCTATATATATGTGTATCTCAAGTAGCTACTACTTAATAATTATTGGACGGCGAATCAAGATTGGGATACCATTTTGTGGATAACAGGAGAAGGTTGGGGTGCATTCTCCTGTGATTTATTGCTTCTCACGTATGAAGTGATTTTATAGATTCTAAAATAATTAAGAAAGGGACATTCCCATTGACTGCTGTCATTATTATTTCACATTGATGTTATGTAATTAACTAACTCCAAATTCATCACTAAAATGAAGCCCGCAGATTAAGCAATGAGAAAGGGTTAAACTGGGACGAGAACATTAAAACTTTGCAACAATAAATTACTGATTCCGGAGAATGTATGAAATGAAGGTGCTTGGACTGCCGACAATTGTTTGTTCGACGGTGAGGAATACGAATACGTAGCTTTGTTTGGTAGAATGAGACATTTTAACAATCTTAATTTGACTGCAAATTAGCGTTTTGTGGGATGCATGATGAGGACTGGTTTTTTAATTATTGTTTATAGGTGGCGTGCGCCTTAAATTAATAGATTGTTTAAGTTAATTATATATTTATTAGAAGATTATGTTAATTGTTCAAATTATAGATAGCCGAGAGAAGTTAGTGCATTGCTATCACAAAATAATAAAATCTCTACCTCCCCATTTGAGAGATTATTTGATACATTCACCGGCATATATACATTCTTTATGGATTATGTTAGGTGAATTCAAAGACATCTTCTATACCTAAAACTTTTTGTAATTAAAAGAATGGTATTGTCTAAACTCTTACAAGTGAAGACATATATAATAATGTTTTTAACAAATTAATGTGGGAAGCATTATTATCGCACTTAAGTCAACGTTAGGTAGCTAATGGACCGAAGCTCTTATACCCTCGATAATCATGCTGTACTATACTTAACCAGTGTTGATGTGTGATATAACACCAACGACTCGCTCGTGTAAAGTGTTTAACTGTTCTTAGAAATTACATGTGATATAATTGATTCAAGAGTCAGGATAAGATTAAACAATAATATTGAATGCAAAGATAGAATAATAAATGAGAGAGAAGATTTTTATAGTGATTCAGATGCTTAAAGAGATTCTTACGTTCACTGTTTCTTTTATTTATGAGAGTTTACAAGAGGTCGCATATAGCGAATATCGAGCAGAGGTACAATAACTGAGTATTTAGAGAGAATATCAAGTCAGTCTCTTTTTCGTAAGTTGTCTTTGCTATGAAAATAGAGATTGGAATCAGAATCAGAATCTCAAAAATGAGAGGGGCAGTCTTCTATTTATAGTAGCTGAATTCAAGATAATGATTACAAATCTTTAAATGGGAAGGTGTCGTGCAAGTCCTTCCTTGCCTCCCCTTAACTGATAACTTAGAAAATATCCTCAAATTATCTGAGGCCTAAACATGTGTGCAGTCCTCATTCACTCATAGACAGAACCTGAATCTACTGGGTTAATGCAAACATATTCTTTCTATCTTGGGGTGATGTGGCAATTCCTGGATAGCGCAAAGTCTTTCTAAACTCAGATTGGTACTTGTTGATGGAAACTTACGTCTGCACTTATTATTTAGGCATAACAACCAGTTTTGTACCAAGCCACACTTTCAACTTCAAAATTGATTTTCTCAGGTCCATTGAAATTCTTCTCTGCTAACCTAATTACATATTATATATTTAGAAAGGTTAAAAGTCAATTTGCAATTGGTGGGATGCCATATGCCCATCACATCACTAATGATATTAAATGAGCTTCATACAATTCTTTGGTATGAATTCGGAATATAATTTCTTATACATTATTCAAATATTGTAGGTTGTTTGTATTTTAAATTTAGACATTCAGACTAATTTCAGATTTCAAATAAAAAACTAAATGCTATAAAGTTACCGAGGAAATGGAAAACATAAAATTAGAGAGGTCAAAGCAACGCACATTCTGTTGCATCGGCACGTTGCTAAAACTATATGATATAAAAACCAAAGATAATGGACAATTATTAATTTAAACAAAAGAAATAACAACAATAAATAAAGAACAAAATTCTTCATTTTAATTAGCTTTTTCTTTTGCTATCAGAAAGTAAGCGAAGGAGACTAGCAGATAAATTTAGTTATATATGGAGAAAATCAGTAACTTGATTGCTCTTTGCTCAAATATGATAAAAAATGTTAGAAAAACTGAATCTATTAGTGAAGATAAATTTGATTATTAATGGTTATATAATTAATGTTGCAGTACATACATATAGGTGTGTGTAAGTTGTGTTACATATATATATATATATATCCATTTGTTTTTAATAATTGAAATATGGATGATTTAATTTAAATATGTTTTTTCTTTTTTATTTAGAGTTACTATTTATGGAAGAAAACCTTGTAGTATAAATGCACAAGAAATTATTGATTAAGTCCCGCAATTTAAAGGTTGAGATATATATATTCAAGTGGGTATGATTGTATAGAGCATTAGCTATATTCTGCTTTGACCTTACACCTCACAGAGCCTTTGAAATCTTGATTATGAAACCGCTAAGTTCTCAATACTTGGTTAAACACTGCATTTTCAGGAATAAAAACAATGTTGGCCAAGCCAGCTCCACCTCACAAGAGTTCACAATTTCAGCAAATTTTGAAACCTTCCTGCTTCCCTCTTGTACCCCAATCTTCTTACCAATTGAGCAATTTTACCTCTTTTGGTAAGAGTTCGGGTTCTTTTTCAAGAATTGAACAGAAGTCGACGCCTTTTCTTATCGCCATCCTTTATTTTAATTAATGCAGCTCTGTGTAACGGACATGAACTTAATAATTACCAGAAGTCTTTCATAGAATGAGAATATGTACTTTGAAGGATCAATGCTCTGTTCTTTTCCATCACAGCGTTTAAGGCCAACAGTCTCTCCCAAATTCAACATCCCTTTTCTTGATTAATATCGATTATATCATATC